GCTTAAAATAATTAGTGCAATCGTTGCCAAAAGTAGAACCAACTTCTACTCTCTGCAATGCTTCATGCAACTTGTCTCGCAACAATTTTGACCATTGCAAGGCATGTTAAACGGTGCAATGACTCGTGCAACTTGTCTCGCAACGTCATTGCAAGACAAGTTGCATGAAAAATTGCACCGTGTAACAGGGCCTTAAAGGTCTCCTATTTTTATACACCCTGTATATCCACTTATCCAGCTATCCGTATACTGGGTGTCCCGAAAAAAAACACGAAAACCATTGAAATCACTTATTGTTAAAATTGAATGCTCTATCAAAAAGCTGAACGTAATGATGCGTAAAATATTGACAAGGTGCATGTATTAAAATTTAGTTAAGACATCTCCTTGTAAAGTTTGCGATTTTCTGCTCTTGGGAATTTAAAGCAGCTTCCTAAATTAGATTAGTTTTATTTACCCACAAATAATATTTACAAGTTGAATATTTAAGAATATATAAACGGGCTAGAGACCTTTGTGCATAAAATTTACTCATGTCAATCATTTATGCACTCGTGGGAACCAATAGAGTGCTTATAGGCATTCAAATTCTAACAATTAAATTGTTATTGGTGATTTCAATAGTTTTCGTTTTTTTGGGACACCCTGTATATCTACAGTATCTGCAATTTATTACGTTTTTTTGACCATCCATGCTGCATCATTGCTGGTTTTTGTAATAAACATAACACGAGTTATATGTACGTTAGTATGCATTAAACGATTCTGCTTGGGTCTGGCAAGTGCCCAACCAACAAGACAGTTGTTCAGCCATCAGTAACGAATAGTTGGTCAATCTTTACATTCTATATAGGCTAGGTCTACAGAAGTACCATTGTCATTATAATTAAAAAAGTGAAACGTTTTTATTTCGTTGTTTTTACAACTTACAAAACAATACTGTATTTACCAATAAATAAATAATTAAGGTTATCTCTAATTTTAGCGAAAAGTACGTGTTTTATTTAATAATATCTCACAATATCAGCGCAAAATAAAAATGATCGGCCAGTCGATGTTCTTTGTTTGTTTGACGAATAAATAGCCAACTGCCGAACATTGTAGTACACATTGATGTACAACAGTACAGCGCGTATAACAAACGCAATCATGCGTTTAGATTCAAATTTAACTAGGCGTTTTTTTTTGTACACTCTGTATATAACATATTTTTACCATTTGACGCAACTAATACTTGATCTAGTAAAGTGATTTTCGAACATTTCCGAGGAGTAATTTCATAACAACTACAATAATATTCACACGGCACTCCGCACTCTTAAATTTGCCGCGATATATTTATGTGATGAATATTTTTTTTATAGCACCCTGAGTGTATACCTGTATGGCCTGTGCACAAATAAAGTGGACAAGTGATCATTTGTGAAAAGACAATCAAACGCAGGAAATCTAATGTTAAAACGAAATTTGATTGGCTTGTTGTAAGAACGTTATTATATAAACATGCAGATACATCTCAAAGTCTATAAAATATTTTCTATGATGATAACTTTAATATTTATTTAGAATTGTTATATACTTAGTCAAAGTTTGCCGATTGGTCAAAACTGTGTCACGTGCCGGTCCACAAAACGTCGTGTTCGGCAATCGGTCCACAATGAAACATTTATTGACCGGTCAATAATAAAATGAGTGCAATACGCATGCGTGTCAACCATGAAGTTCCAAAGTTCATTTTTTAAACGTTTTACTAAACATTTACGGCGTTCCATTTATCCAATTTTGGTTTCAAATTAAGTTTACTTCAATAACCGGTGAATTATTCATATTTTGGTACTTATACACTATATAACAAAACACTTATTCACTGAGACCTCGGGAAAGCAGTGTGTTTTGTGGCCTGTTGACCGCCGTTGTTGCCTTCGGCTTTGCCTCGGGCAACAACGGCGGTCTCGGGTCCACAAAACACACTGTTTCCCTCGGTCTCAGTAAATAAGTGATAATTATGTTTGTCGCAACACTGAGTTTCACGCCCTTTTTTGCAAGTTTTGTTGAACAGTTGCATATGCAGACTGCATTTGTCGTTTTTGTCTTTCTTTCATACTTGATACGATTGACCAGCTGAAGAACTTTTAGTTCTTGCAGAAGTTTTTTACATTTTTTTGTTTTTAAGAGCGACTGTCCGTAAAAATCGAGCAAACAGTGGCAATAGATGAAAAATACATTGCTTTCATATTTTGCTCAAATTTAGGTAATACCTAGTTATAAATGGTGTTTCGGTTAGATATTCAATATTTGGTCGATAAACGTACAAATATCAGAAATCAAGAATTTGTCTCCGGAAGGCTATAATTAGCCGCAGACAAAGTTGTTGCTATGGTCAATTTCATCACTTCACGACAGATTCAAAACTGCCCGTATAGATAGTTTTGATGGTTTAATGACTATAATTCAAGTATTAAAGAACAATTTTATCAATATAGAATGGCCCACGAGGCTTTAACTGGCTTGACAGACATTGTTGAAATTGGCTATTTTTAGTCAAATTTCACAATTGCATTTTGTCACTGGATTTGAAGGGGAAATTTACTATGTGCGATAATCGTGAATTTGTTTATATTCCATCCACGGAATGGTATAGCATGAGTACATGTTATATATGAGTACATGTTATATGTTTGTCGTAACGTTGTATTTTTTATTTCCCACTTATAACAAAATAAGAAAAGGAATTTTCAACTTGCTCCTTGGAAAAAGAACACGTTCCTTGCTTTTGTAATTAATTACGTTTTTCGTTACATTTCTAAAAACGTAATTAATTAGAGGTTAAAATTACTTCAAATGTAACGAGTACACAGTAACGCGTTACAATTGTATCGAGTATTTACAGCCCTGTGTAAACCATTGAAACGAGTAAACTAAAGTCTACAGGAGGAATTTGTAAAAAAGAAGAAAAGCTAAACGAGTAAAGAGTGGGGACTAATTATTTGTTATGGCAAAACATAAATAATCCGAACTGTTCACTTGCAGGTGCACACATTACAGTGTAAACATGCCAAGTTCGACTAAATTTTATTAAGTTATCATCAAAGATACCAGACTTTCTTGACACGATCTCACGGTGACGTCACAACGTCAAAATATTTTAAAAAAGCGAGATAAATTGAATATGAATGAACTGTTACAGTCATTCTTCATCATTGAAGCTGTATTTTTGTGCAAAACAAAACCTCTCCAGGAAATTAAAGAATCAATCAATCAAGATTACGTTCATTTCCACGCAGTGTAGGACATCATTTACAAAGGATCTGCTTTAGCTACTGTTTTAATATTGTAGTTTACTTTTTTGTTTTTACTTAATCCCCCCCCCGGCCCCCATCAATATAAAAACGTAAACTTAAAAATAACACTGCTTGTTGTTTATAGACAGTCATATTCTATTTTATATATATATATACGAGCAGTGAGGCAGCTATAAATTTTATACAGTTGTTATTCAGTTGACAGCTATAGTTTTTCATTATAAAGCGCTCAACATTGGCATTGATTTTATTTCCCAGATTCCACTAACAAACATTTTAAAATTATTTATATATTCATAGGTATATAGATTTGCTTTGTAAATAATCTAAGAACTAAACTCATCTTTGTCAACTTGTTTTTATATTATTTTATAGTCTTTTATATCGTAACATGGTCTGAAACAGACTACCTGACTGTCGCCTGAACTACCGCAAAATAAGCTTATTTAAAAGTCTCGCGTGAGGCCCCACGGCAATAACCCAAGCCAGTTTTTATATACAACATGTATCCATGCTATAGCATTCCGTGGACGAAATATAAAAAAATTCACGATTATCACACATAGTAAATTTACCTTTCAACTTATGTACTTTTATTGTATTTACCTAGCTTTAATTCTATTAGTTTACATATGCAGAGAAAGCATTAAACAAAAATGAGAAATTATTAGACTTCCAAAGCTTACAGACTGCAGACATATTACACGTTACAGTCTAGTAAATAATGATATGATGATTTGTTGTGCTTTTGTTGTAAGTAGGCCTATCACTAAAATATATTGATAATCCTTCTAAACGATTCTTAATAAAGTATACAAAGCATATACATTGATATCGAAACACAAAATTCAAAGTTTTGAACAATTTGAGTTTTGTGACTCTGGTATAGACGTATGGGCCTAATGATTTAATTGTGTTACATTCCACTGCATGGAAATCACCAAAATGAGCTTTTTTAAAAGTCTCGCGCGAGGCTCCAAGGCAATAACCCAAGCTAGTTTTTATATATAACATGTACTCATGCTATACCATTCCGTTGATGAAATATAAACAAATTCACGATTATCGCACATAGTAAATTTCCCCTTCAAATCCAGTGACAAAATGCAATTCTCAAATTTGACTAAAAATAGCCAATTTCAACGTCTGTCAGGCCAGTTAAAGCCTCCTGGGCCATTCCATATTGATAAAATTGTTCTTTAATACTTGAATTATAGTCATTATACCATCAAAACTATCTATGGGCAGTTTTGAATCCGTCGCGAAGTGATGAAACTGACCATGGCAGTGGCTTTGTCTGCGGCTAATTATAGCCAAAATATGGAAATATGAACGAAATCTATTTTTCATGTATTGCCGCAGAATTCAAATTTTGCTCGATTTTTAGGGACAGTCGCTCTTAAGCACCTCTTTTTTATCCCGTCCTTTGAAATAGACTTTGTTCAAATGTATCATGTCCGAAGAAAAGGCCTTTATGTTAGCTACAGCTTCTTCTGAAAAATTCACAAGAAACAGATGGTTGTTCACTGCAAGTTCCAGAATGGCCAACTATTCTTTCAACTCGGTCTTGCAATGATTCGCATTCAACTGGCACTTCGCAAGAGACATTAGGTTTAAGACTTTCATCGTTGAACAAATCCTTCTTTAACTTATCGTAGACACGTCTGGCTGACATGCCTTTTAGTTCGTCATGCGAGTTCACTTTCGCATGAACAGCAGCAAGTGACACGCTTCGTGTTGCTGTATTATTGACTTCTTCTTTATTTTATCGAGTTCTTCATTTGTCCAAGGGACCCTCTTTGTGAATTTCAAGTATGTCTCCTCGTCACCGATGCTGGATGCACTTTCTCCACTCTCCGTCTCCCCGGTATTAGGCTCCACTCGCATGAGCCTGGCTGGCTTTTGTGAAGCCTCAACCGAGCCTCGTGTTCTTTCGGTCAACAGGTAGTACTTTTTCGCTGTGGTTTCGTTGTTTGCCATTAAACTAGCTAACTTGCTGCTCATCTCCGGACTGTTTTTGTGTATGTTAGTTGCAGCGGCTTTACGAAACGACGTCGATGTAATCTTTGTAGAAACCGTGGCTTTCTTGAAGACTGACTGCGGTGCCTTGTTAATTTGGGACGACGTCGTGGGTTGCCCATTCCATGTCAATGTTATGTAGACGTGACATGCGGTCGCATCATTTTTACGAAGAGTATCAGTCACGCCTTTAGCTTTTTGCTCAATACAATGAGAGCCGGTCCATGAATGTGAACTGTTTTGTGCTTCATCACTGATATGACGTAGCGATCGCCTTTTTCGTGCATGTTGTTAAACTCCTCCATGGCCATAACACTCCTGATCTGTTGGCGTTGTCATTAAATATCTGAGCAAATAGGAAGTTTCGCACATAAGTGTATTGAGCTTGAGTGAGAAGTTGATTTCTGCCGAGGCCTGAAAACTCGCTGATGGTCTTGATGGCTTCGCGGGCTGCTTCACTGTGTCTCGAAAGTTTTTATATCCGCTGATTGCATTTTCCCTGATCCCTGTTGTATGGACATCCCGTGCATTTCCCCCGATCCCTGCATGCTACTAACTCGTGACAAAGAGTCCGCTCGAAACGTCGACTTACACAAACCGAAACAATCATATATTTACTCACCGCTTGGCCAAAATTTCGGAATTTCGTTTCCACAATAGCGTAAATAACTTGTGAATTCTTCAGAGTTCGGCTCAAATCAATAAGAGTAAAATATTCCTTGTATTCAAGCGCTTTTATATGCAAAATTTCATTTGAATACAGCCAGTAGAAATGTTTATTTTGAGTTTTTAAAAATATCGGGTTTTTCTTGTTTTTTTCTCGCATTCATGTGCCACACGCTAAAATTGGCGAATAAGAAGTACCCGTAGCCCAATGCACGTGCAAATCATGCTGCAGATGTAATTTGACCTTTAGAATCGATTTCCGATGTTTCCCGAGCGCTAGGATGTAAACACGCGATGTTTTGGCGAATTTAAAACGCATTTCAGGTCAAAAAATATCCCGCTGAGTTCGCTAATATTGCAACAGATTGAAATATCGAAATAAAAGACGAAGAACTGAGGCTACAAGCCTCAAAATAACACTGTAAATAGTGTTTTTGATTGTGAATCGAACAAGACTACAACAAAAAATACATGTTTGAAGGGGCCGAAGTTGTGTCTGGCAAAAGGTATGGCTTTAGTGATAAATTGTTTACATTTTTCGAACAAATATGTAATTTGTTGAAATATGATACGTCTTGACCCTTCAAAGGTCATAAATCGCTATAATGTTTGTCTTTGACTAAAACTATCATTATGAATCAGGAAATATTATTTCGCTGAATTGAATGGTGGTATTTTCATCTGCATAGCATGTACTGAACCGAAGATATGAACCTCCAAAATACTATTGCAGTTCTGCAAAATTGCATTTCCGGTCAAAAAATATCCCGCTGACTTCACTAACATCACAACAGAATGAAATATCGAAATAAAAGACGAAAACCCGAGGCTACAAGCCTCAAAATAACACTGTAAATAGTGTTTTTGATTGTGAATCGAACAAGACTACAATGAAAAACACACGTTCGAAGGGGCCAAAGTTGTGTCCAGCAAAAGGCATGGTTTTAGTGCTACACTGTTTACATTTTTAGAACAAATATGTAATTTGTTGAAATATGATACCTCTCGACCCTTCAAAGGTCATAAATCGCTACAATATTTGTGTTTGACTAAAACTATCACTAGAAATCAGGAGATATTATTTTGCTGAATCGAATGGTGGTATTTTCATCTACGTAGCATGTACTGAACAGAAGATATGAACCTCCAAAATACTATTGCAGATCTGCAATAGTTTTCACAGGGTCGGTCGAAAAGGAGTTAAAATAAAACTGAAATAACACTTTGCTGTACGGATTTTTCAAGATAAAGTGTTTTAAGAATTGAAGTCAGGTGCACATTATGTGAACACAAATTTTTTACACTACTCAAAAGTTTGATACTTTTCATATTCAGTGATGTGCGAATTTCCTCACTTATCACCTGAGTGAGCATTCTGTCCCTCCCGTGAAATATAAGTGCACATTTTTGGCAACAAAATCATATACGGTACTATATGCATTTGCAATTAAGCATAATATGATTGTAATGGTTGGTAGACCTTGTTTTCTCTCTGTTGTTTTCTATTAATCATCTTTGAGACTATGCAAAGACTAGAGAAAATGGATTTTCTAAATAGGAAATTGAAATTATTGTATTGGGTATGTGACGGTATCAAATCTCATGAGATTTGATACTGTGACATGTAAATACTCTCGTATTTGACACAACCGGAAAACATTTCCAGTGTAATAATTAATTTTGGCTGAACTTGGAAAAGGTTTCCACAACTTGAAAGATTCAAATTTCTGGATTCATAGCTAGCTTTTTGCAACTGTGCTTATGCTCGATTTGGCAAAATTGATTTAATATAATACTTAATTAATAGCATGTCTTGAATAAATGTGAATAGTGCGCTTATTCAGTTGTGAAAAATAATCTTACTGTTTGCGGTTCAAGTAAAACTCAACTTTGATTTTTAGGCCTACATATTAAATATGTAGTCCTGTTGTATGACAAAAAATAATATATTCTAATTAAAGTCTAATGCGCACTCAGTACTATATGAAGCGACACTATCTGCAGTAAATTACGTGATGCTATATAATGTGGTGCTTACAGTGCATGACAGTATTGGCTATAACCGCAGTAATACCAAACATGAACTGTATGGGAAGCTTTGTGTCAAAATTCGTTTGTTAATCACAGCTGGTATGTAGTGTAGTATTTTGGGTGGATGGTTTGATTTGTTGTGGACGTAAAGTGGGATATTATTGGGTTTAGTGAACGGCTGGTACTTTTGGGTAGACAGATTTAGGGTGATGTCTAAAAAATCTACTATTTTCTTGTTGGCTTCGATGGTAATTTTCAAGCCATGATTGTTGAGGATGGAACAGATATCTTTCTTGATAATCTCAATTTTACGGGGGGGGGGTTGCTTTTATAACACCAAGCCCGTCATCTCGATAGAGGCCGAAATTCTCACCGTGTTTTGGGGTGATCTTGTGTAACAAAAATTATCCGACCAGCTCGCACGACTCTGCCCCGTCGTTACGTCAAACAGGCTGGATGATGTTTTCTTGCCCCAGTGTTCTCTAGAATTATATAGGCATGATTTCTTTGCATGCAGAATAATATTTCTTTCATCATCTGTGATGTCATCATAATTTGAGGCGAAATCTAGCGCTGCGTTCTATTTTTACTTAGGGGCTTGTTTGCCGAGAGAAACAGGAATACTTAAACAGGCAAATTAAGTGAAGCAATGTATACTTTGGCTCAATTACAACAATATAAGCAATTATATTTTTGCCGTTGCCGTTGTCGTTCTAGGTTGTCTTAAATGGCTTTTTATTGTAATAAAGTCAATTAATCAATGCATGCCAATGGTCCTGCTTACATATCGATATGCAAGAATGTGCAAGTAGCCAAGCAAATATTCACGAGCGGACCAATCACTGCATGCAGATGCTACACAGTGATACATGCGTAATTCTAGTTCCGTCTTGTGCCGGAAAGCCTACTATATGCATGCATGCACCATGCATATACATAATAAATAAGACATAATAAATGAGCACAAAACAGTGTCTATACAAGTTAAAAAGACAGAAAATCAAACAAAATTACATTGTAGGCATAATCAGTAATGTCATAATTGGTACTGCTGCTAAACGTTGTTATACGTATTGGCTATCATCGTGGTCATCATGACCATGCATGTCAATTTTAATACATAATGTTCATTTTTAGCTAAATGTTTCTGTCAACAAATTTAACTCCCTTGAAAATCCTTACTTCCATGTTACCATCGCTTTTGATCACAGAATACATGCATGCTTAATACAATTGTCCAGTAGGTTATCTCGTGTAAAAGCCCTTAAAATATTTATGCGGATTCTTTCCCTTTATTTGTGCGTCGAATGTATATTTTCACAGGTCTTTCGCACTTTTTGCGTATACTGATAACTGATTCAAGTATGATTATTTCAACATTGAATTTGGAACTGCATAATAGAGAGGTTCAGATACCCCGGTTCCATTTTACGGGCACGAGTATCGTCATTTTGTTCACCAATTTTTGCTGATGTCAGCATTTCTACCCATAATTTCTACCCATTTCACCGCGGTAAACCATGGTTTACATGTAAACGACAAACAGGTACGGGTGTTTTCTGTTTACTATTTTTGGGCGTTTAAATAGTTCAAATTTTCAACTGTCTTAAGGTGGATTTCCAGTCCTCGCACGAAGCAGCTCGCTGCGAGTGCATCCATGAGCACTTTCATCCAATCACAATGCTAAACAGTTAATTTTAATTAGATGCAAGCACTCGCAGCGAGCTGCGAGGAGCTTTGTGCGAGGACTGGAAATCCGCCTTTACCCGAAATAAAAAAAGGCACATATGCTGGTCAAAGTTATCAACAATTTATGGCGAACTTCAAACAGTGAAAGTAAGTAAGTAAGTAAGTAAGTAAGTAAGTAAGTGAACTTTATTTAACCACGGTAGACTCATCAGGATTTACAATAAAATAGACAAGGGACATTACAAATAACAAAATATGGAAATACATTATTAATACCTGTTTTCCATGAGTGCCGTGCATTATTAACTAATGATGTAGATAGGAGTAAAAATATTAAAATTATCGAATGAAGTTGCTACAATCAGCCTTGAATTTACGTAAAGAGCTAGCCTCCCGTAATTCTATAGGAAGAGAATTCCACAGTACCGCACCACTGTAACTAAAACTATTTTTCAAATAGTTTGTACGCGGTTGTGGTATCGCTAGTTTGCCGGTGGTGTCTCTCAACATATAATTTGTAATGTTACTGCGATCAACAAACATTTCGGAGAGGTAATCTGGTGCAAGGCCATTCACAGATTTATATACCATGATAGCTTTGGCAATCTTATGCTGAGATGCAAGATTTTTCCAACCAAGTATTTCAAACAGATAATCGGCATTTGTATCATAACTGGATGACGTCAGTACTCTTGCGGCACGATTTTGTAGTTTTTGTAGTTTATCCGCACGAGTACTCCCGCAACTATCCCAGATAACTGAGCAGTAGTCGAAATATGGCTGGACTAGACATTTGTAAATCAGTTGCATTGTGGAAGGTGAAACAAAAGGTCTTATGCGCTGATCGGTTTTCTCATGCCAGAATATCTTGGATTTCTTAAGTTACAAGTTATTCCCCGATTTACGGGTACGGGTATATGCACCCGTAAACCAGAATCGAGTGTGATTCGTCATTTCAGCAAAGCGCGTGAAATTATCAGCTACTGCGTTGATTATGAAGAAGGATCGCGCTAGTAAGTATGGGTGATCATGCGATGGCGAGTACAATTAGGGATTAATCATACGAGTGATATTTGGAAATTTTGCCAAAATTGGACGAGCCGCTGGGGCGAGTCCAATTTGGCAAATTTCCAAACATCACGAGTACTATTAATCCCTAATTGTACGAGCAACATCGCATGATTACTTGATTCCTATTAGCATAACAAAATTGGATATGTACTTATCAATGTCAACATCATATTCTCTCGCCAAAGCCTAGTCCTGCCAGACTTTCAACCGAAATTTGGTGCTTTTGTTCGTATTTTCATTTAGTTCTTTTGATAAAGCAAATTTGGTGGTTTTGTTTGTATTTTCATCTAGTTCCTCTACGGCAATTTCAATCCATGCTTGTGTTTAAAATAGGTTTCCGCCATTTTGTTTGTTTTGGGAAAATCATTAATGAAATAATTGTACCACTCTCAAACAATCAGCATCCAGTAACTTTGTCGCTAATAATAAACATTGTTATAACGTACTGGGATAAAATGGATGATTTAAATTTGGATCAGATAGTATTGCTCAAGAAACATACAAGATAAAGGAATACTTATTTTGTTTTTTTGCAGTGCACCTTTATGTTTTATATGTAGCGTCAACCATGCTTTTGCCATTGAAATTCGCGCTAAATTCGTTCCATCACAGTCTGAACAGAGTAATGACATTGAGAGAATACAAAAGCGAGCGCTAAGAATAATCCTCCCTGGTATGAGCTACGATAATGCATTACGCCAGTCCAATTTGAAAACCCTAAAGAGATGTTATGTATGTTGACATGATTAAGAAAATGTCAACCCCCGGCCATAAACTGGTGTTTCCAATTATAGGCAAGTCTGTTGACTTTATCAACCTTGTTACAAGTTGATACCAACTTGTTCCAGACTTGTCACGACAGCTGGGAACAAGCAATGCGAACGCATCCTGGTCGTGGCTTGACAACAACCTTGTTACAACTTGTTATCAGACTTGTTGCAATTTGCGCGTTTTTGGCTGTGTATAATTATGTGTGAGCATTGTGCTTATCGAGATGATAGACTCAACATGGAGCTATAGCTCACTTGTACTTGTGGTAAGATGGCAAATGCTTATAAATTATAGGCTTAAGAAATCATGGTGCCTATTCCTATGTTATTCCTATATGTGATTTTGTTTTAGCTACAGCTTGTGTCAGCCCGATAGGAATCGTCAGGTCATTGTTGCCATGCAACTGTGAAAATACAGGGATTTATAGACTTCCTAGCATGTCGAAACATGGAAGGGTGGAGGTGAAACAATACTTTTGAGACTTTGCCTATATATTTAGAATTTGTTTTGAAGACGACGGCGGAAAATAATTTTATTTTTTGGTTGACTAAAGTACCCTTACATTTTTTCTACAATGTGTCCCCAAAAAAACTGCATCCTTTTCATATTCAAACAAGACGCTCTATAGAGCGTTAACTCGCTGGGGCTACACAAGTGAAAACTAAATTTTGTCACCATAGTTGCTCATAATTTGGTAACCGCGAGAGAAAAACAGAACAATTTACAGAAAATTACAACAGATTGCGGAAGTGGGAAGGTTCTTGTATTTTGAGTGTAACATACTGTAAAAGGTATAGCCATTACCAGTAAGTTAGTACAGTAGCGCTAACATCAAGTTTTGCTGCTGCTACTTAGATCCCGTTTACACGGTACAGGACGAATTTGGGACCGGTCTGTTTACACACGAATTCGTCCTGTTAGGGGGTCTCAAATTCGTCCGGTTCCGTGGTTCTCGTGTGTTTACACGGCCGAAACGGCCAAATTTTAGTCCAGTTCCAAATTCGTCCGGTACCGTGTAAACGGGGTCTTAGTACAGTTTACAGATATAGACAAGTAATAAGTATAATGAACTCGAATACAGTTTAGAGTGAGACTTTATTTAGGAGAAATAGTACAGAAACAGCTGACAGTTCAGTTAGCAATACTTGCAGATACGCATCGAAGTATCATTATGCAGTAAAAGAATTATAGATTTTTCTACAGTATACATCGCATTAGAACAAAATTCTGAAACAATCACTAGGACTATTTGAAGTTTAAATATTCAATGTGAGTATGAATTATGATTATATAGTCACGGAACAAATTTTGCATCTGAACAAAGCAAAATTGTCAAGTTCTATAATGCATGGAAACCATTTCTGTAAGCTTTTATAATGTTTATTTTTTTATGAAGCGTCGATAGTTCAATTTCATTGATTTACCAGTACTCGGTCCAGTAGAGATGGCGATGTTCATTGTAAAGGTACCAATAATGAGGATAATCAATATACGTTAGTCTTGTCCTCCGTGAAGAATTAACAGTCGTATTTCAAGGAACTTGTGAAATCGCAAAAAAATCCACTTTATAATAGCAATATTAATTGACTGGCGACTGGCGTACAAATTCACGAACAATTCATAGCGTCAATTCCGGCCCATGATCAGAATAGTGGAGACACCACAATGAAGTTAGTGTACACATATCATCATTCATCATTTCAAAATAGTCGAACATATTTCGTTGTATAAAGTGATGTGTTGAACATTTTTCTACAAAATAAAGAAATGAATAATTACAGTATATAAGAAAAATAAGGTTCCATGGGTCTTAGTTGAATATAAAAAAACTTAACAGTGTGTATATAAACATATTTAATTGGATTTGCCCCAGAGCTACGATAAGGTCATCGATATAGAGACAGCGTATATATAAGATCGTTTGTTTGCGCCTTGCATGAACTAGATGGCGATTTAATGTTAACCCATTAAGTGACAGCGTGCTCCCCTTGACGGGTAAAATCGTCTGCCATTAGACAGAGTAAGTGGGCCGTATTGTCTCTTAAAGGAGTGAATATAAATCTTTTTACTCATTATACATAATCATAGGAAGACTGAGTATAAATCATAACTAGTTTGGGACATACCTTAACATAATTGGTGATAATTTCCCGAACTGTCTCATTTCAAACTTTCAGTCCTAAAAGAAAACATTTTGAGTGATGTATTTGAGCTTACAGCGCATTTGAGCTGTAGTGTAGTATACTAAGTATAGTCAATGTACATGTTGCATCTAGGTTCAATTTAAAAATGATTGAACATACCTTGTTTGCATGGATGGAACTGCAAGAGACTCCTCACGTCCGTCTCTTTGGGGATCTACCAGAATCCCCCATCCCAGTCTCTCGTAGATTGGATTTTCATTTCAGCGATTTTTTAACATTCGATTAGTTTTTCTGCTGCAATTAAATAGTGCGAGTTTAATGGGTTATATACCGAAACGTTATTGAAACTACTGTCGTAATATTACATGTCAAAATTTTTAATGAAACTAGTTGTCAAAATCTTACAGTTACCTTAACAGCCTCATGATCAGAATAATACACACTTACAACGTTTGCTTCTATTTTATTGCATATTGACTGTTTTACGTAAACATGATCGAGAAGACTTCCGGATGAAACAAATGTTGGTTTACTTACAAGTTGCACATAATTTAAAGACTCGGCGAGTACTTTCAATGAAGAAATGTTCTTTTCATTAAAGTAATCAATATTGAAGTCTCCAAATATAACGTCAATATCCAAGCTAGTTATTATGTAATCTAGGCAAGCTATGAATTGCTGAATGTCACCTCCGTGCTTACGATAAAGCAGTAGACAGGATAAGGTATTCCCACTGGAGTTACTAAGTGCAAATCGTAAACCATTTATTGAAGTGAAATATTCTGTATCACACAGTGTAATAGTGTCTTTGTAGCAAACAGCTAGACTTAAGAACTTGTCAGAATTATGATCTTGTCTGTGTATGGAGAAATCGTTAAGGATTGAATTAATATCATCATTTGGTACACTGGTTAAAAGTTGAGTTTCTGTAAGGGCAAACACGTCACATTTGGACAAGATTGGGTCATTACTTAGGTCAAGACTGTGTTTTTTAAATGATCTAATATTTAAAAGACAAATTGAGAAGGTTTCTGTGTTACATAAATCTGTTGTAATATGCGGGTGGAGACTAGAAGTTTCACGCAATCTCTGGTATTCTTCCTGGACTTTAGGATTAGCTCGAATATGTTTACTTTCAAGTGTTCCTAAAATATGCAGGCCATTTAAAGACGTTGCTCGACTAAGTGCTACATATACCTGACCATAATTAAAATACCTTTGCTTTTTTAAATCAAAACTGACGACAATGTTATCTAGAGTTAATCCTTGCACTTTATGAACAGTGCATGCCCATGCGAGAGTTACAAGAAATTGTAATCTTTGCATTTCGGGAGATGATGGTTTTCCTGGTCTGACTTTAATTCTTGCCAATACAGGTTTGATAGGAACAAGATTGTTTTCTCTTGCAAAACTACTGGACGAATTTCATATAGCAGATACTCCAGCATTACTGTCATCAAATTTAACAAAAATTGTGCAGGGTTTATTACTAACATTGTCAACAGAAACTTTTAATACTGTATACCTAACTGCCCATTAATTAGTCGAGAGCATAACTCTCGCATTTTCTTTGATCAGGATTTTAGTGTCAAGCCCTCCAGTTTCGGATCTTCCTTTAGACAACACTCTTTCGATATCCTGTTTTCTAACATGAGGTGGGAATTGATCTAAAGCTTCTAAAACGTACTGTGGTGATTGAATTTGTTGTAGGCGATCAATATTGTACTCATCCACTGGTGTATTTTCCGCAAAGATGTGTAATGCATCCCATGGATAATTTTCATCATCTGGAGTTATTGTTCTGGATTGAATACATCTGATATCATCGTCTGTATGTGAAGCCGTGCGCACTCTATTTAATAGTTGAGTGAAGGCGAGGTCATCTTTTTGTCTCATGATCTGTGTTAGTTCTGCCATTTTAAAAACATGCCATGGATGGTACAGATTGAATGTATCATTCTTATAATTTGAAAATGTTGTTGCACTTCGAATTGGTGGTAGCTGAAAGAAATCTCCGAAAACAAGTACACTGATTCCTGCAAAAAGTTCACTATTAGGTGTAACAAATATTTCTTTCAATCTCTGGTGAATATGCAGCAGACCTATGTTTGAAACCATTGATATTTCATCAATTATGATTAGTTTCAATTCAACCAAAGACAATCTCATTTGTGTTCGTCTGTGGTCAGACATTGCAGGTACATTATTCCCACATTCCCGTGGAATTGCTAGAGCAGTGTTTACGGTTGTTCCGTTGGTATTTATGGCAGCTACACCAGTTGGAGCCATTAGCAATACAGAAGATAATTCAGGATTCATTGGAGCATGTCTAAATGTTTTTGTAACAGTATGATATATAGCTTTAATTAAGTGTGATTTCCCTGCACCTCCACCTCCAGTAACAAAAACATGTATCGGATCTACTTTAGATGGTTTAAGGGTGTTTAGGTTGGCCATCTTATTTCTACACCAGGAAAGAACTACGTCATATGCATAACGTTGGTTGTTGTTCAATGATCTTACAGTTTTTCGTAGATCGTCGTCACTGATTTGTGAGGGTTGATTATAAGAACTTATTCCAGAAGATGGTTGAACTGATTCAGGATTTGATGCAAGATGTTGTGGCAACGATTCGTTAAAAGACTCGGTTTCATCAGAATGGTCAGGCAAACTTTGTCGTAAATCGTCATTTTCCTGGTCATTTATTGGATCATAAGAGTGCGTTGGTACGCCATCAAAGTTTCGTAAATTTTCTAGTGCTTCATTAATAGCATCACCATCTGGCTCAAAGATTTCTTTGTTGCGTTGTACTACCTCTTGAACATGTGGCTCATAAAACTTGGATATGTATGTCTGGTCTTCGCCAAAGAGTTCCTGCTCATTACGCCACGGAAAATACAACATAAGAAGGTGGTGAAAATATTTTTCAGGCTCTTTTCTTTTGTTTGGAGTGTGATATCGAATGACAGCTTTAATTCTTCTGCACTTCATAATTTCTTTGCTATTTGCAAGTTTTATTCGATCGGGAAGTCCAGTGTTATGATTTTCGATATTTTGAGATTCCATGAAGTCATCGCTTAACACTTCAGGTTGAGAATCAGAGACTTCGTTAAAATCACTTTTGTAATCTTTGAAATAGTAAGCAGCAAATAAAGCTAAACACATATCATTAACGACAGGAATGTTTTTTGGTCTGTCACTGTAACGGACAATAATGTTAGACTTAAAAATATCAGTACTATCATCATCTAACTCATCAAGTTCTTGTTGTTTCTTCGCAAATCTAACGCGATTTTCAGCAAAATCCGTACTAACAAAGAGGGTTTTCGGGAATATTTTTCTTAACCAGAGTTCAGGCATACATCTGTAAACGCATTCTTGAGCACTGACTTCACGAGTCGAGAGAAATGCTGCACCTATTTTTCTTAGGCCATCTCTTACATTTAAGTTGGCTTGTTTAGCCTCTTTTGCTGCATTTATGATGGCTTGTGAACATTCAGTTTCATCCTTTGTAAAGTAAGAACAAACGTATGTGATACACTTGTAATGATTAAACACTGGTTGCAAGTCAACATTTGCGGCAAATCCTTTTAAGCCAGCAATAAAGTAATTGTTGATAAAACAACTGTTTATTGGTCTCTTCAGGTGCAATTCATAGTCAGAGTCTGGAGATAATGATATAGCCCATTGATAGTCTTGCTCTGTAATATCTATATCATTTAGGATGTCAGTTGGAGTTGCATATGGATCATAAGTAGGTTTGCTTGGGTTTAGCACATCATCAATTTTTTGTTTAACTTTAGACAAAATTTCCTTTCGTTTGGTTAGAATATTGGATTTAATCTCTTCATCCATATCTTCAGCCAAAGGTTCAGCAACAATTGTTCTGTCAGTAAAAAACTGTCCAAAGTTAAATCTACATGCAACGTTCTTATACTTTCTACAAGTTTTACTGTGATTATGTGTCTGGTATGTTTTCACCAAGTCATAAAGTTGAGGATATGTTTCTTTGTCTGGGAGGTATGCTTGAACATGTTGGTCAATGTAATCTATATATGCATCTTTTGTATCATCCGTTAAGTGTGGGCAATCAGATGTCCATATTAAGGCATGCAAATGTGGTGAACCTCTCATTTGAAATTCAATACGGAGTGCATAATATACTATTTTGCCAACTGGGTTTGCATTTGTGAGCAAAACGTCCCTGAAAAATGTTTCGACTCGATACTGGAAATGTTTAGCTACAATAACTGGATTTAAATTTAACATTGAGCATCGCTCATGATAGGACAGAGCGTCCACTTCTTCATCTGTCATGTTGTTTCCTTTTGTTTTTGCAATTATCTGAAATAGCTCAGGCCATCTTAAATCTGCACATGAAAGCATCATAAACCATGTTGGTATTCCCAGTTGTTTAACCATTGCTACCACTTCATACATGAATTTTTGCCAGTAAGGAGGTGAGCCAGGAATTTGTCGTAAAAACAAATATGCTTGATCTTGCAAAAGAAGATTTTGAAAAGCTTGACTGTTTGATTTCACTTGTGATGCTGTGACTGACTGCCCATGTATTTTTTTAAGAGCTATATTTATACTATCAGAGATCTTTTTCTGTTCCATAATGAATTGTGCAAAGAATAGATACTCTGGATTGGTTGCAAATTTCCCACTATAATGCAAGAGGCGAGCATTGAAATATTTTATCGGAGATAATTTTATGTCTCGTTCAAAGGTGTATCCAAATCGTCCTTTTGGAAAGAGTACTGGAAATGAAAGTTCCTCACAAAGCTTATCAGTCATCAATGATACTGGGTGTTTACCTTCACCTGGTGCAATGTTGAAAATTTCTCTACCTGTTGAATTATCACAGTTTCTATTGTCCACGTTTACAGGATAATTTGGCAAGATGGACTGAAGGCAGGTTTCAGTTGCAGCTGAACGGTATTCATTTAATGGATCATCTTGTTCTTCAGCATCTTCATTAAGAAGTTCTCTATTTACATTAGTTTGCAAATGCTCGTCTACACTTTCTTGATCTGTAACAGGACAGTTCAAATTAGTCAACTCTGGGCTGATGTTGTCACATTGAATTTCAATGTTTCTATATAAGGGATTGTTTGCTATGAGCCAGTTTAATGCACTAATTACAAACTGAGGGCGAACTGCTTGAAAGTAAACATAACCTCTGAATTGAAGTTTCCTTTTTAATTTAAGTAAAATTATCCCAGATCTGTCAGGTGGTCTGGGAAGAACATTGCATGTTTGACTACATTCAACTGGTACATTACATATCGCACCTTTAATTTTTCTTTGTTGTCCTTTCGGCATTATTATAATTTTTTCAAAGACTATTCTCTGGGCAACAAGAATTTGTTCAAGTTTCTCTAATGCAGCAAGTTCAGTAGGGGTTTCATCAACAAATAAATTGTTTACCACAGCTTGACAAGGCTGTTGACCTGCCTCGTACCCAGACGTCTCTTTAATACTGATGAGGAAAAGGCGGCACGCGAGAAAAAAGGCGGCGCGCGAGAAAAAAGGCGGTGCGTGAGAAAAAAAGGCGGCGCGCGAGGGAGGGCGGGAAGGGGAAAGAAGCGGAGACGTCTGGCAGATAACTTTTAAAGATGGCGAATAGTTTAATGGCGGACGTTCTGGAAAACTACAACAGGCCAGTCCACTTTGCGAATTTAGAGAATAAAGTGCCTTGTCCAAATAATTTATGCAAGGGGATCACGGCCTTTTATAAAAAACACGGACTTCAACATCATTTTCGTATCCGACATCCAGATGTTCAATACGTCGGGGAAAAGATTGAACATGATGCATCGAATATGATGAAAAAGTTGCATGGTAATGAAACAAGATTGATGATCGAAAAGATCTTCGAAAGGAGACGTAAGCAGGTATGCATTTACATATTAGGCTCATTTACATAATGAATAATTGATCATATCATGTTAATGTTTTTAAAAATATATATGCAAAACAATTTTCGCTGAATTCTGTATTTATGGAATGTTTTTAATAATGTTTTGACTATAATATTCAAAGGTATCAAGCGATGAAAGGATATTTTCTGTCTCTATGGGTGAAGATGAGTTGCAAATTGTGGCAAAACGACCGAACGAAGCTGCCAAAACGTTTGGAATGTATTTGTTCCACTCTGGTATCCTGCCCCATTACTCCAAGGGTAACAAACCTGTTACAATAACGGTATCGTCGTTCGGCTTGCTTGTAAAGTTCAGTGCTTGGTATAGCTCAAGAGAATTTGCTGATTTAAATGGAAGTGGTACGGTCATTGTATTGCAGCCATGCTTCATTAAGAAGGTGAACTTGATAAATTGAATGACATTCCATTTTACATTGTATATAAAATCTCCCTCCCCCCCCCAAAAAAAAAAATATACATCCCTTTTTTAATATGTACATCCCTTGGTTTAGTTTCTGAATTTAAAAGGAGGGGGTATTTAATTTTCATTTTTCTTAGGGGATTGCATAAAATAATTGAAAATAAATCCAAAAGTGGCCCCCAAATTGTAGTTTAAAGATCATATCAAGTCTGTATAATGTAAACAAATCCTTTGTTTACATTTTGAACTGCTATATTTGTAAAATAAGACATACTAACTGAATATCTAACACTTTTGTGGGTCGCTATTTTTAATGAATATAAACTAGAGTATGTTTCAATTCAAAAAGTTCAAAAGATGCAAAATTTGGGCAATGTTTATATCTGTGGGCCCCCCTTTGGTATGAGCAGAACTGATGTGCAGAACGGACTTGACATGGTCTTTAAATAATGCCAAAATCAAGGACTGACCTTGTGAAAAGCTAAAATCCGGGAAGAAATGTTGGGGGAGGGGGTTTGATGTATAATCTTCAATGTATAATATTCAAAATTTTACAAAATCCCACTCCAAAAATCCTTGAAATTGCATTTCAGGGAGTGTATATTTCAACACTTTTTTGGTGGGAGCATGGCCCAACCCCTTAGCCATCTGCTTAACTACCCCCCCCCCCCTCCAAAAAAAGTATGCCCCTGTCCAAAATGAGCAAACCCCCATAAAAATAATGTGATGAAATTTTGGTCAAATTGATCTGCAACCCAAAATTCTTTCTTGACTTTTTAACAGAATCTGGACAGTATTGTTACTCCTTGTACTCGTGATCAAGATAATCAAGTGCCCGATTCTGTGAAAAACTCTACAGATATTGGAGAAAAAATAATCAGTGAAACTGGTGATGTGGCCTTGGATACTTTGAGATCAGTGTTTGGATATAACCAGTTTAAAGGTAAACAGGAAGAAGCTGTCAAAACTATTTTACAGAAAAAGGATTGCGTGGTATTGATGCCAACAGGTGGAGGAAAAACTGTTTGCTACGCAGTCCCTGGCATTGTTATGTCCGGTGTTACCATTGTAGTGACTCCCCTGATTGCACTTATTCTTGACCAAGTGCGAAGACTGCAATCTGTCAAAATAAGTGTGTGCTACTTAGTATCAGATATGAGTGAGGACCAGTGGTCAATTGTTTGCCATGAACTCAGTTTGGCATCTCCATCTTACAAGTTTCTTTTTACAACACCAGAAACTTTACTAACTACAAAGGTTCGAAATTTAATTCAAACAATGTCTGCCAGTTGTACACTTGCACAATTTGTAGTGGATGAAGCCCACTGTATTGATCAATGGGGATTCAATTTTCGCCCCAGCTATTCTAGTCTTGGAGCTTTGAGAGATTATGGTGTCCCAATTGTAGCTTTGACTGGGACAGCTACTTGGAGGACAGTGGAAATCATTGTGATGCAATTGAGAATGGATAATCCTGTCATAATTAAACAATCATTTGTTAGAACTTCTTTGACTTACAGTGTTGTTACAAAAAAATCATCTGCGAAAGAGGATATTTGCAAATTGATCCAGGAACAATTTCCTGACATGTGTGGCATTGTATATTGTTCTGAGCGCAGGGACACCATTGACATGGCATATACTTTAAAAACCAAAGGAATTAATGCGACTTATTTTCATGGTGCCCTTGATCCATTTGAAAAGAAAGTAAATAGTTCTGCTTGGCTTGAGGGAAGAGCACTTGTCATTTGTGCCACATCTGCTTTTGGTATGGGCATTGATAAGCCCAATGTCAGGTTTGTTATTCACCTGACAATACCAAAGTCACCCGAGGAGTACTACCAAGAAGCTGGCAGGGCTGGGAGGGATGGTGCTCCTGCATCATGTATCATCTTTTTTAAATTTGAAGATAGAGTAAAAAAGCTAAGAATGATATCTACATTAGATGATAATGATCACAAGAATTTGGCACATGATAGCCTGAATGCTATGACCATGTATTGCATTAGCAATGATTGCCGAACACAGCTTTTGTTGCAATACTTTGGCGAAAAAATTCCAGAATGCAATAATTGTGATAACTGTAAAAACACGGATCACACTGAATGTATTGAAGCCTCAAACGACGCAAAGAACATAATTAGCTGTGTTGAATGTATGTTGCAGATCAGTGTTAAAGTATCATTCAAGGCATTAGTGTTGACGTTTCTTGGATCAAAGCGCAAAGAAATTACGAAAAAGAAGTTTAACGAAGTAGAGTGTTTTGGTGCTGGCAAGGGTAAATTTTCGTTTTTGACGGCATCAGCATTTGTACAGTTGTTGATTACTAAAAATATTTTGAAAGAAAATATTCCAAGTAGCAATGATGTAACAACTAATGCAACTATTTCAATTGGAGATGGAGCCGATGCCCTTTTAAAAGGGGAGATTACAGTGGCACGATAAAATGGGTTAATTATTGAGATACATACTAGGTGCTTTACAATCAAATGGAGAACATTGTTATTGATGGCTATAAAGTTCCTTCATAAAGTTCCACTTAAACTATAACCACAATGCAAAGGGCTACAAAAATGTAATAAGGGGAATCTAGTATTAGTGGTTGTACATACTGCTATTTCAGATAGACACATAAATAAAGGTTTTATTATTATTATTTTAATTAAGAATACAACTGATCACCAAATTTGTATAAGTTATTCATTTAGTACATTACTATTTAGTGTACAGTACATTTAAAATATTTTTCATTGATATTCAATCTCTGGGGTCCAGCGTCAGTTATGGCATTGAATATAAAATAACCTTACAGTAGAATTAATCACAACTGAACAACCACTCAATTTAAAACTTTTAGTAGTATTAATCACAACATTAACTCATTTAGAATAATAAAGTATTTCATATAAAGGCCCCTTCCTCTGAAGCTGCTTCTTAGTAAGGCCCGTTGTTTGAAATGTCATGTTATTCTAGCATAGTTCTTAAGACCATTACTCATCTCGATTTGGCACATTTGGTCAATTTTGGCTTGCATTTGGTATGTATGATGTGACATGCAAAATGAAAGCAAGTATGTAAATTGACCAAATCTGCCAAAGACAATCAAGTAAAGGTCTAGGAGTAGCCTAATGTTGTTCATATCTGATCATATTTATGAATCTCATTTGAATTCACAAACACTAATAAAGCCGGTTTTCCACTAGGCAGAATTTTGCGCGCGGTTCGGAATTTCCCTTTGCATTTTGTAATTAGTTACACCTGAGAAATCACAAGACAAAGAAAAATTCCACTCCGCGCGCCAAATTCCGCCTAGTGGAAAACCGGCTTAAGTAAGGAGTATATGTACAAAGACTATATTATTCATTTTCACCTTCACTTCTTTTTCCTAGTCTCCATTCTGGAAATAATTCAAACATCTTATGGTCAAAGTTGTCTTGGACCTTCTTCACACCTTTTGTGAAAACATCTACCAGACTGTTCTTTACATGACCATCCTTTTTTCCATCAACATATTTGTTGATGAACTTATTGCCTTTTTGTGGAGAGAAAAACTTTTCTTTCAAACAGAACTGCATGCCTTTTAATTGATCTGGTAGTGGGTCTTGTTCTTTGTGCTTTGTAGTCACATGAACATCAAACACAGAATGGTCGGTGTAAGCATTTCTCACTTGTCCAAAAATTTGTACATTGGCCATAAGCCTCCTGCACATTTTCACAGTCGTATGTCCTATATAAAACATTTGTAAAACAAGAATAAAATATTTCCTATTGGTCTCGTTAAAGGGAAATAGGAAATAGGTTAAAAATGGTTTTAAAATTTTCAAGTTCTTCATAAATCCAGTTTGAATATTTCAACATTGGTCCTAAGGGTATATTGAATTTGGCATATAGTCAAACTTGGCATGGAAACAACCATGTAAGACATATGACCAAAAATACCATGTCACAATAGCAACATTTTAACGGCTCTGCAGCAGCGTAAGTAATTTTTGGAGTAAGCAAAAGTAGTATAAACACATTCATTTCCAAAGTTTATCAAATTAATTCCGAAAGTTGTCATTTGATATGCATCGGAGCAATATTGGCAGGGCCGTAACTAGACAATAATTGGTGGTGGGGTGAATATTCCGGTATTCATGTTCACATAACGTAAAACAATCGCTTCCAAAAGAAGTCCGTCGGCAGAATAATATGCGGGGTCCCAATTATCGCGTCTAGTTACGGCCCAGAATATTGGTAGGTCATTATAATTCTTATAAGTCATTAATTAATCTGGTCATACATGTAATAATGGAGGTGTTGTATCCTTACCAATTACTTAATAACATTACATGTACACATTTGCTACAGTATGATTATCATTAGCCCATTGAGTGACAGCACTCTTCCCTTCACTAGTGAATCATCTGTTGACAGTAAAGTAATAAAGTAGGGTGTATCAGTGCACATTGTCACTTAACGGGTTAAGTTGCATTGTACTCTAATGAGCCTTGCTTCATCATTTTACTCAAATTGATTCAGTTTTAGAAATAATATAGTGCATATTGTATATTTGCATACCTGACACATATTTCTTGAGGGGTTGTACTATGTAAGTTTCAACAAACTCATCCAGGGCAATGTTGGCATTCCTGTTTCCTTTTATACTTACACTACAGTTCTGTCGCATCATCATTCTCACAGCTAAAGGCCATTTGGTGGTAAAATTGACAATGTGTACAAGAGATTCTGTCCAATAGTTTCTTTTGCGAAGTTGGCAAAATATCGGTAACAGAAGAAACCATACTACCTCTCTGCCTAGCCCATCACAACACTTTGTAACATTGCAATAGAGTTCAAGTAAGGGTGCATATAAGCTGATGAGGTCTGTATTATACTTGAAAGAGGCATCGTCTGCACTTCCATCTTGCAACCATTTCTTGAAACCTGTTAACAGGGCCTCATTGTGCGATCCTGTACGACGTAATGATTCCATTAACTGCGACTTTGTAGGGAAGTACACAGACTTCTTAAATTCTTGTACAGCAGCAAGACCGAAAGCAACACCCCCGTCCCGCACTGCCTCTTTAATACGGCTCAAGTTTTGGTCTTGGAACTTTCTTTTCCCAAATGCTTCTCGCGTTAGCTTTGGTCGTTTCATTACGGTATGAATTACATGATGAAAGCCACCATCGGCCATTGCTTTGTAACATGCTTCACACAAGTATCCCTTCGTGTGCATGTCTCCAGGAAATTCTGAACACCAGTTAAACGCATACGATGCCCGATTCTTCACACTTCTACATATTTTATTTGTCCCATTGTCACCAACAATTATCGTAGGACATGATCTGCATTCAGATCGATTGAACTTAAAAACTTGACTTTCACCGTCTGGTATTTCAATTTTGTCGGAACTATCAACTGGTTTACATTGTTCAAAGCTTTGTAGCAATATTTTATCCTCTATGTAATCCTGATCAGTCTCAAACAGTTTTACCATCGTATCAAGTTCCATAACTTTTGCAATTTCAAGTGGACTGGGCATGCATGTAAAAAGTGCACCTGAACTTAAGGCAAAATTATCATGAAGTACCTTTGCAATACCTTCATTCTTATTTATGACAGCTAATGTTAGTGGTGAGGCACCACATCCTTCCAAACAATTGATGTCAACACCAACAGTGATCAATGTTTTCACTAGTGTTACATTATTGTCCTCAACAGCAGCATGCAATATTGTTCTTCCAAAATGGTCTGCAATGGAATTTGTGTCCCATTCGTGGCGCTTATATTCCATTTCCTTTAAGAATTTTTCGAATGCATGTGGATCTGAGATGTGTGCTGCTTTCCACATTTTCTTAACAACTCCATCATAGACTTTCTTAAATGCCCCATCGATTTTCTGGAATTTTTTTTTCTTTAACTGGCTTAGAGCAGACTCTTCATCAGCATCATCATCATTATCATCACTTTCTTCATTTGTTTCCTTGTCATCCTCAGCAGACTGAAAGACACATGAATTGTGTTCAAAATCTTTCTCAGTACTGTCAAGTTGGGATTTATATTCCAACATCGTTTTCTTGTGTTCCTCCAAGTGTGTTATGAATTCATATCTGTTACGAGATGCTTTCAAATCAAAAACGTTTTTGTTCTCATCAAAAGGAAGGAATGAAGTCTGGTGGTTGCAATCAATGCCAAATTCTTTACCAAACTCTTCCAAAATTGATGCAGTGCCATTTATAGTTGAATTATCTTCAACTGATAAAGGTAATATTACCACATCACTAGATTTAAAACTGCTGTCAACAGACGGTTTTAACACATCTGCAACTTGAATGACAAAATTTTCCTTTACCTGAACACCTTCAACAGTTTGCTTTTTCAGCCACTCCATGAACTCTTCTTCAGTCATAGTTGCAAAATCTTTATCGGGCTGTGGGATGCAATTTAACCCAGTTTGAAGAAGCTGAAGAAAATACTGATCACGGAAATCATTCCATAATTTCACATGTTCTGGGTGGTTATCTGAAAAATACATCACAAACCATATATTATGCACATTTAAGAATAATAACAGCAATCTGTCAAAATACATTTCACACATTATGTTCTTTCACTCATTATGCTGCGATTTTCTCCTTTTGGAAGATGTGAAGGAGTAAATGAGTTATAAATGTTCTAGGTTGTGAAACCTTATAACAACATCTTAAGTAATCTACTCCTTCACATCCTCCAAAAGGAGAAAATCGCAACTATAAAATCGCAGCAAAAATTTTCCGTGTAAACGGGCCTTAACAGTTCAGTTTAGCACTGCAGTTCAAATAGCCAAGGGTGTGGTGGAAAATTTGGCCTAAGTCCCCAGAAAGGTAGAAAGGCCCCACATATAACAATTTTGTGAAGAAATGTTTCCAATCAATCCAATGCAGTGCAAGGTGCATACAGGTAATAACAAATATTTTGACAATAATTTCAATTTATTTCACTTTCCATCAATCACAATTAGCCTTTCCGATGCTGGGTTTACAGTGTTTTCAATAAAAGGCGGTTACCGCCTTTAACGCTTGCATATTTCTTTGTATATACGTACAATTTATATTTGTACATTTTCTGTGAACTTTGAGAACAGACGCCTATTTTTGAACCGCAGCATGCTATTACAATTGTCATTGAAAACACTGGGTTTATCTATCACTTTTCGTGGTACTGCCAGTCTGCCACTCACAACCCTTAGAGTGTAAGTACTGAAAAATGACTTTTAATTATGACTGTAAATCTGTAATGTATATGTGTGTGTATAATATTACATGTACAGTACAGTTACAATTTTGAAAAGTTGCTTTTCATATTGTTTGGATTGTCTAGATTCTCTGATATATGAAGACAGTATCAAAAACAATGGCAGATATCGGACCCTGTGAGAAAGATTAATTAGTATTTTATCTTGCTATACACACACATACATGTACTGAACAGTAGACTGCATAACTACTTACCAATTATTACATCATTTGCTTTCAACTCCAGAATGGGTTTTTGCGGTAGAATACATGTCTCCTCTTTGTGGAACAAATGCTCAATCCCTGTCAAATTGGGAACAAGAGCACCTCTTCCTGTGAAGTTCCACATTGTTGGGCCAAGAACTTTATACAACCTGTGGTGTCTGTGTTTTCCTCTATATATATTGATGTTATCCATTAAAAGTATAACAGGAACATCAGCAGGAAACTTCTCCTTTATAATACTTGTGAAGTTGTTTAGTCGTTGATCTAAAAATTTCATGCTGTACACAGATAAAAATGTGGTTAATCACCACATGAATGTGTATACTATGTTTCATACATTTCATAGTCTTGAATTAACTAAATTAATCACACAATCTGTTTAACATTCACTAACAAAGCTAATTTTTTTATACACACCCTGTATTTACGGCTATTGCAAATATATGACACTTAAACTTTGACCTTAGTTCTTCACCCATTAAGTGGCGTGCAAACTTTCCCCCCCCCCCCTGACAAGTAAAATCATCTGGTGTAATATAGAGTAATCTAATAAAATATGTACAGTATATTAAAAAATATAATTACGGTACTTACATTGTATCCCAATGAAGTGATAGTCCAATTGCATTTAACATGTTGACAAATTGCTTCCCTGCTCCATAACTAATGCATAATAGTCCAAATAATAATGAAAAGTCAGTAGAATCTTTTGATGACCGTATGTGCAGCAAGGAAGCTAATGCATGGGATGCACACTTGAACTTTAATTCATTAGTCTTTCTCACATTATTTTCTGAATTGGCTGTGGTACAAATAGTCTCCAATATACTGTCAATTAATGGGCATTTTTCTTTCACTTGTGTGCAAAATGCATTAAATAGATCAGGGGTAATAAGATCATGGCGTACACCAATGCCACTTTTTCTTAGATCTTTAAATTCGTTAAGTGATCTAAGATGACGAACCTCTTCATTCAGCAACTTCTTCTGTTCTGAACTTAATATATCATCTTTCTGTCTGTTAATTCTCTGGATCTCTTCTTCATACAAATTGACCAGACCATGTACATATTTGTCATGTTCAAACGACTCTCTTGCATATTGTTCAGCAAGGGTGATCATATCTGGACTTTCCTGAAGTTTATCTGACAGTTGAACCCATATTTGCTCCATTACTTCCTTGGATGCATTTATTTTCATTTTTATTGAGTTGATTTCATCTACAATAAATTGGAAAAAAATGTGACATTAGAAAGTGTCAGCAGAGGCAATGTTAACATCTTGTTATGCATAAGGATTTATACACAATCATTACCAATAAAATTAGGGGACCACAGTTTAACTACTTATTTACACAACTACTGTACTCTAACTGTAAATAACACATACCTTCATCATTGTCAAAGTATTCCGGCTTCCAAAAGTTAGTCTTTGCACCAACATTGTGATATTGGTATCTTTCAATTACTTAAGGAAACAACTGGAGACTCCTTGTAAAATTCAAAAGGTTTAAGCCTGAATGTTAATCCCAATAATTTTTGGGCCCTAACTACCTCATAATCACTAGTGCAACATATTCATATTTTGCCATTAACACAGGACAAATCTAAGACAGTTGTTGCACTTGCAAGGTTCTTTAGTTGCCTGGTCATATAATATATTCAAATTGGGTTGTTCCAGAAAAGATCCATACTCCCCCCACGGAGGAAATTTCTGCCGTCCGGAGGGGGAGGGGAGACAAAAATGTTTCTGATAATAGTAAATGTATTAGGACATCCAAAGGGGGTAGGGGGGTTAACTTCCTATTTCCTCTGTGGGGGTGGTATGGATGTTTTCTGGAATGACCCATTGTGAAAAGTATGAACAATTATTCTTGGGTTTCATATGATGTCACAAAAGTGACGGCAGGGGGGGGGGTGAACTCTAAAACAAAACATAGTTATCAGAGTGTATTAGCCTTGTGTTTGGTGGCAAATGTGTGGAATTTCGTATCATTTTCTCACTCCAGTACAGCATAAGCATATTAAATACATTTGAGGTTGACCCCCCCCCCAGATTCACTGCATTATGCCATAGTGAAACCCAAGAATACAATGTAGTACAAAGAAGAACTTTACTGAACAAAAGATACATTTCGGGATAATTTTTTTTCCGGATTCTTCTGAGATCGGCTGCCGGAAACACTGCCTTTACTGCTCTTGTAAGAAGGCTTTTGTCATTCTCATCAACATTCAGGTACTCCAACAAAGCAGTTTGGTTCGTTACAGAGCCCATTTTCTCTTCAAACCCTTCACAGAGGCGAGAATATATAACTTCATGTCGACTACGAATTTCCCTGGCATTTAGAGAACATCCTGGAAATAAAACAACATGTATGTATGTTGTAACGTAAAAAGGCAAGAATATTAATGGTTTTTAAATAAGGCAAATACACAAATTCAAAGCTTTTATGCACATTTTAAGAAAAAAATGTTTATATCTCTTGGGATACCCCTGCATATATATGGCTATATATTGGACTGAAATCAGGTGGTTGCCATAGTTACAATATGATCTAAAATGTTATATATTGCTGCCTTTAATTGTAGAATTGTCCAATATTTTCCGACAAAATTTACTTCATTTTCAAGACAATATTATATAAACAGTAATCGAACTAAGAATATTAAACAGTCTATTTATTTGGCAAACAAAATTTTTTCTGGTCTCAAATGGCCAATAATGGCACAAGTTAAATTTACAATGCTATCAAATATTCAAATATGCAGTACGATCTAGTCCTACTTAATTAATGGTGACCAATTTCAATGAACATTTTCAAAGCTTACCAGTCATTGTTCGTTTCCTTGCTGGTAGACCAGAGGCCTTCGATTCTGGAGTCAATGCATGTTTCTTGGTTAATAACTCACTCGACTCTGAATGGGTGTTATTAATATCCTCCAAAATATTGCGTTTACAAGGCCGACGTTTCACAGGAGTGCTGGTAAGGGTTTCTTCACATTCTATCATAGCATATTGGAAGATAAATATATCAAAATGAATATAGTACAGACTAGACCGCATATACAATTGATACATATGTCAAATTTAATAGCAAATACATACCCAACAACTTTAGCTCGTCGAACGACTTTTCAAGATCATCCAGGTCAGTTAAATCATCCTCGTCAATACTAGCCATATTACTAACCTCACCGAACGCATAGCAATCGCAATCGTCTAAATATTAAGTCTGAAAACCACAATGGAACCATTGACAAGAAATCTTAAAGATTGCCAAGAAGTCGACAACAAATCTCGCAGGCGTCTCCTCCTTCTTTCTTTCCCCTTCCCGCCCTCCCTCGCGCGCCGCCCTTCGCGCTGCTTTTTTTCTCGCGCCGCCTTTTCTGGCGAGCCAATTATTCTCTCGCCGCTTTTCCATCTGCTTTGGCTTTTCATCTACTTTCCTTTCGCGTTCGCGCTGTATTTAGAGACCAAGAGACGCCTGTGGAGGAGGCAGGCTGTTGACCTTTAAGTAATTTAGCATGGCATGTTTTGCAGATGTAGTTTTTGCCATCAAAAGAACAATGAAGCATAAAACAATCCTGCCGAGGATATTTATTTTTCTGTAGGATTACTACTGACTTTTTGTATAGTGTTCGGTTACACGCACAGCATATGTAAAATGGGCCAGATTTAATTTATTTTTTAAATTTTTGAATGCACATGTCAATGTCATGAGTTAGAGATTTTTTCTCCATCCGTTTTTCTTTCTCTCTAGTCAGCAAATCATTTTTTTGTTTTGGATCCAACGACATGCGATTTAACATGATTTTGCTTGAACTCATAGCACTCAACTCCTTTTTCTTTGATATATCCATTGCTTGATATTTGACTCTCTTGTTCTCTAATAGTTTCTGTTTTTGTTCTTCTCCCATTGTTTCCTTATAATTCATATTTTTAGTAAGCAATTCCTCTTTCCTTGATAGATCCATTGCTTCATATTTTACTCTTTTATTCTCCAGTATTTTTTGCTTTTGTTCTTCAGTCATTGTTCCTTTATAATTCATATTTTTAGTAAGCAGTTCCCCTTTGTTTGAGTGATCCATTGCTTCATATTTTATTCTTTTATTCTCTAGTATTTTTTGCTTTTGTCCTTTATTCATTGTTTTTCTATAATTCATATTTTTGGTAAGCAGTTCTTCTTTCTTTGATTTATCTAACATTTCATATTTTGTTTTCCTGTTTTCCAATATTTTTTGTTTTTTCTCATGAGCTATAATTTTGTAATCATTTACATGTTTAGAGTTAACTTGTTGTTTTACTAATGGTTCCATTGTTTTGTATCTCATCTGCTTTGTTTCTAACTTCCGTTTCTTTAGACCTGGTTCAATGAAGTCATTTATGTAGTTTTGCCTGTGGTTTTTCATAATTCTTTTTCTTTCACAGTTAGTCAATTCAGAAAAACAAGACAAAAATTGAATTTCATAATTGACAATTTCATCCTTGATTTTGGTGGTTGCTAGGTTAAACATAACATCGACTAAAGTATGCTTGTCTTTTATGTTTTTAATGTAATATGTAGTACATGTAGGTGAGTTATCATCATCATCATATGCTAAGATTGAGTATGACATATTCTTAATTGATGTCTTTTGAAAGATGCAAGAAATACAATAATCTCCAAACCAAATTAAAAACCCTGTGTTTTCATTAGTATGACAAATAAGGCTTTCAATGTGTAGTCTGCTTTTTGCCTTGTCATAAAGTACTCCTTGAATATTAGCTTGCAATTTTACATGTACTTCAGTTCCACATATGTCAACTTTTTGAGGTATATCATGAGATGCATTTATCCCAGTGTTGTTATACAAAGTAGTGCCAAAGTAAACAACTGCGGTCACTGTATTTGAATCCCAGTAATTACAAGGTTTAATAATAGCATAACAAATCGAGTATAATGAAATCGCACAGCATTGTCTACATGAACAAGAAACATCAGCACTTTTAGATTCTGCTGAGGCGTTAGCTGATAGGGCAGAATTTCTAATGCCATTGTTTAAGTTCTGGTCACCATTGGCTTGTACCTGTTCAATATTTATTCCTCTTAGCTCAAATTGACTGTTTTCACTGTATAAAGACTGGAAATACAGAATTACATTGTTGATATTTGGTGCCTCCAACAACACACATGTACCTTGTGGATGACTTCTGCCATAAATATCTCTTGAATGAGAGTCAAAAATTTTATACTTGCCATCAGTGGTGGAAAATATGCAAACAGCATTGGAGTCAATTGTTAAAATGAATGCAGAATAGTTCTCAGCCAGGAGTAATTCAAATGATCTGTGAAATGGAACACAGTACTGAAACCCTTCAATAGAACAGTCTCCAATTACATTACCACTATAGCTCTCACTGTACTCAAAAATATAATCTGTGTCAAATACTGTAAGTTGTGAAGGCAATTCTGTAAACAATAAAAATGATTGCTGTGCTAAACATGATAAGTTTGAATATAGTTCATTACCAATATTCATTACGTTAATCAGATCTTCTGGTGAGCATATGTTCTGTCTTTTGTTGTATATAAGGGCACATAAACACATTGCTAAACACTGCTGTCCTGCTGTTTCTCCAAATATAATTTGATTACCTTGGCTATATGGTGCACTGATTGTTTTGCTGGGATCAATATAGAATACGGGTCCAGGATTTGTCTCAATATCTGTACATAATGCTGACTGACAAACTTTCTTTAAGTGGTTGACATTTTTGAATACATGTTGTGCATATAAATCATGAGTCGAACCTGATAAATAGAATATATCTGCAAGAATTCCTTCACAGATATAAAATTTTGAATCTTTTGATGAACGGTTTGTCCGGCATTTCTTGTGAACCTTCTTTGGGCAGTGAAGATCAGGGATACACTTCATCCTAATGTCTTGACATTGCTTAATATTCTCTACTATGTAATGAAGATAAGAAGATCTGGGTACAGACCTTTTGATCTTTATATGTCTGAGACATTTTCTCAACAGTCGACTTTTTCCAAACTTCCTAGTTAACCATTTCACCTGTATTCTACTGGGTTCACGGTAACATAAATGGCAACCAGTGGTACTAAAGTCAGTAACATGCTTTTGTGTGCAGACGTTAAAAAATAATGCATGCTGTGATTGCACTAGGAGTTTCTTTATATGCATAGGATTGTGTTTTGACAGACCTGTTATTTCAATATTCTGGTTATTCAATTTAGAAATACAGTTGTTAGATAAATTTATACCTGACATACATTGACCTGTGGACACAGTATTGTTTTTCTTATCATCCTTGGTCAAAATTGTTGAGAAATTCTTGATTGTTGTCTGTTCAGACGATGTCGCATTGTCTATGTCCTTTGTAGCCTTTCTGCTGGCGGCCATGTTGACCATGTGCTCGTTGACTGTGCAGCAACTTGATTGTGAGTTTAGGTTTGTTTTTTGTATATTTGTCTGTGTATTATTCGTCATTTCAGTAATACTTTTGACTTCAGTAATGCTTTTGATTGCAGTGGTACTTTTGATTTCAGTAATATTTTTGTCACATTTTTGGCAACTTTTTGTATAACATTTTTGAGAATCTCTGGAATTTATTGTGGATTCGTGGATAATCGACCCGGTTCGAAATCGCTCAACATCTTTTACTGTAGGTCTACCACGAATACGTGCAGAGTCATGCGAGGTGAGCGTATTTGAAATTAAATGACATTCACTTACCGTAAACATCGTTGAAAGATTTCTTCCCAAAATACGAGCCAAAATATCGGAATATATATTAAAAAGGAGAGCAGCCGAACGTATTAAAACGTGCGATTTACGATAGCCTGCGTAGCCGGCGGTTTTAAGGATTGACGTTGAGGCGCGGGCAACGAAAATTAGGGAGGCGAGGGGCGGGACGCTTTTCGCTATTTCTTTATGGGTACGTATCCGGTATTCTAAATTTTAGAATGCGGGTAGTACCCATGCTAGGTATATACCTGAGCATCCCAACCCCCAACCCGACCCTAACCTCTAACCCCCAGAACCTAACCCCTAAAACCTAACCCCTAAAGGGGTTTAAAGGGCACAGTACCCAAGCGAGTAAATAGCTGTGTACTGTATATATCATATACAGTAATGTGCGTATTTGTATAGCCCCCAGCGAGTTAACGCTCTATAGAGCGTCTTGTTTATTTAAAATTGCATTTTGCTAGATATATATTTTTTGATTTTACCCGCAACCCATGATCAAAAATCAAATATGGTCCGCCTCTTAGCGAATGACATTTTCGACATTATAAAATACAGTGCTGTAAGTCCAGTAAATATAGTATGTTCAGTTACAATAAATTGCAATACAGCACATTTTTGTGTAAATGCAGAAAGAATCTGTGCGAGACAAAAAAAGACGTAAATATGAGGAGGGCGTGCCGAGCGATATCTGGACGGTTTTTCCGAACCTTTTGATGAAGGTTTTTCCGACCTTTTTTTGGATAATGAGAGGTTAAAAATACGTTTTTCAGAGCTTTTTCGACCTCAACTTTTCACAATATTCCTTAATATTTAACACGTTCCCCTATGGGGAAATAGGGCCCCCTTCCTTGACTTGGGGCATGGTACACCCCACCCACTCGCCCCCCCCCTCAGTAGTTATGGCGCTGATTATACGAGCTATGTTTTGCCCCTGGTTTCGCCTATGGGTAACGCGGATTTTTTATTTTTAGAAAAAGCGGCTAATTTTAGAAATACTGTAGCTTTTGTAGCTTCAATAATTGGAGCGGTGACATCATGCATGGTCACGTGACTGAGCTGACGCTGAACATGGCAAAACAATGTTTTCATTGTTCATTCGTTGAAATCACTGTTAAAAATAACCTGTCCTAAGTCAACGTTTGCGACGAAATGGCATCGACTAGCAAATCCGCTGAAAAAGTGAAAAATGTTAACGGTTACATTCACGAGCTATCAGAAATTCAGATTGGAAAAACAACGGGAAACCGATATTTCGATTTTAAAGTTCAAGAGGACGAATCAGAATTTACCAGAGTGGCTTGTTTTAGCCCTGAGAAAAGAGATGTGTTAAAACGAAAACAAGAGTCCAAGGACCCTGTATGTCTAACGAACGTAAGTCCTCAAAAGAAAAAGTACAAACCCGATATAAAAGAGTACACAATGGGTAAATATTCGAGCGTGGTTGATGGTGACAGTTTATACTTTCCATGGAGATTAAGTCCAGGAGCTGACACAAATCCAGTATCAATTGAGAACATTTTCGGCAAGAAGGAAGTTGGAGAGTCCATCTGGTTTCGAGGAAAAGTCGTTTCGATTTCTGACCCCTATAGTGTGTATTCATCTGCTATGGAAAAAAAATTGCAAAAGCGTGATTTGATCGTTGCAGATCCCACAGGCGCGATGTTCCTTTCCCTTTGGGAGGGACTTGTCGACCAAGTTGAAATTCAGAGGTCGTACCTCTTTACGAATGTGAAAGTCGCATTTTTTAAAAAGAGATTTCTAAATACTACATCAAAGTCAGTCATCAGCGTTCTCGAGGAAAGCATCGAACTCCCACGCAAAGTTGAGGAGAGAGTAAAGATACTGGAGATGCAGGAGAACAACATTGAGAAAGTTTGAGGCAAAATCTTGAGCGCAGAAGTATCGCAGACATTTGTGTGTATCAATTGTAAGGGTCGTATACACGAGGATCTGATCAACAATGCCAAGTCCATTGTCAAGTGTCAGCAATGCAATCTTAGCACCTTAAAAAAAAACATGACGAGTCACATGACGGCAAATATAATCATCCAAGCCGAAGGTGACGATAAAACAGCGTCGGTGAGATACCATTGCCCAATGGTCGCATTAAGATCCCTGTTTGCAGTTTTGAGCATTACGGAGGGTTACAAGTTCAAAGAACAGGACATAACCGAACTATCCGAAGATATGGTTGTCGAAACCTTGTTGCATATTGGCGAAGTGGAATTTGAAATCCGAAAGGAAGAAAAGTTGATACAGTCGATGAAATTACTGTAATTGCTTAAACATTTGATTTCATTTAAACAGACAGACTACAGGTACTTGGTCTTGGCATGTTGTGTTGATATTTACAGGAAAACTGGTATTCTTACCAGACGTAAATTTCGGTAACTTGGAACCCTGAAATTGTTTTTGTATAAACATTGTAGGTCTATCAGAAGCTTTATATTCAAGCATTTTTGTTACATGATTAGTTTCGGCATTTTGCAGATTCTAAGCATGTTGTAATTAGATGCAAAGTTGTACAACTATTTTCGAGCATTCTGTGAAAGAAAACACTAGAACTAGGCCTAGGGTTTGGAAAATTTTAAAGGAAACTAGGCGTAATTTGCAAACATTCTTTCAACTCTGACAAACAATAAAATTTGAATTGATGTTTTGAAAGTGCATCTTCTAGCTGTCACTGTCATTTACTGCAAGCACTCAAGTGGCTTCCTGAATTTATTTATAGACAACATGCATTTTAAGGTGTAAACAATTTATTTAAAACTTTTATATATGTTTGTTACAACTTTGTATCTAATAAAAACATGGGTTGGGGGCTGGGGAATTGTGTTTACTTACGAGGCTCAGCTAGTGTATTATTATGAAGAACAGTTTTGTTTTGATGCTTATAAATATCACATGAGTCTTCTATTGTTAAAAATTTGATAAAAATGATCTGGTGGCAGTGTTGATTTTTGTTTGCAAATTTTGGGGGTATATATATAGTTCCATGCAAGGGACAGATCCACAAAGTCACATTTTGCCCCCCTCCCCAGGAAGGAAAAGTCCCTTTTTTCTAAATTTATACAAACAAACCTGCGAAAAATAACAAATAGACAAACGAAAAGTAAGTTTTAGGCTTTGTCCTTGTTTAACAAAATCGATTTAAATTGTTACGTTTTTCTACTAAGTAATGATAAATTGAATTGAATTGAATTTATTACAAAATCTGAATGGCAGCTAAGAGCTGAATTGCATTTTTTGAAGTGCATTTTTTCCTTTATTTCAAATACAAGTATACTTAGGATGAATTTTACAGCAAATTTAAATGCTCAGAATGCAGGAAATGGCATTTCCAGGCTTCAAACTTCAAAAACGTTCTGGGGGAGTATGCCCCCAGCTGACCCCTCTATTCATCCGTGGTATGTTGGCCACACAGGTGGCCTTCAGCCATTCCTATCCCCCTCTAGTATATTATCTCACAGAAAGGTCCCTTTTCAAAAAATCCCCCCCCCCCCAAAGGAAAATCTTTAAAAAAGGCCCTGACCAGTATACCAAAAAAAACTATTACTGTAAATGTCTGTTTACATATTAAATTTATACTTGTGACAACACCATATGTTGTTCACACATGCGATAGTGTAATTGGGAACAAATGAAAGAATATATACCAATTTATGAAAAACACAGCAACCAGATGGACAAAAAATTGTTTGCAGAAGGAAGCAGGCGCAAAAAAATTGTTTCCATTGACGAAATGTCCATTCCCCTCGCCCAAAAAAATAATGGTACGTCCCTAAAGTGTAGCGGCTGGCAATAACGTCTTGGGCATATACATAGCTTTACGAATACTAGTCATTTTGCATTAACCGGCCGTGTTGTCGATTTCAGGTCAATTTTCAAAGAGCGGTTCTCTCCAATTAGCAATTTAATACGTCTCTATTAAAAATAAGGAATATTCGCAAATTTCTTTCTGAAGTACCGAAGTACTGAACATAAATTCGTAATTTTATAGTTATATAGTTAATACATTTGACATCCGTAAGTACAATTTCTTACGCTGAATCGAACGTTTGTATTTTTATCCTTATTGCGCCATTAGGCATTACGAATACAATATATTTCACACTACAGTTTTCACGTTTCCACAGATATTAACTAATAACTATTTAATAAGGACTATTGTTGGATAAATTTTATATTGGTATGACACCAATATGCTTCTCATAAAGTAGTTATCTATTAAAACTACGTTGTGAAGTTTACTGTAAGTTATAATCTTTTATCTTGAAATTGTCTTTGCCTTTGGCTCGTTTATATTCAGATTCAGTATATTATGATCGTGCATGGGAATTCGACGATCCAAATTCGGATTAACTAAAAATGCATTAACTAAACTAGCAAGAATGTCTAGAGTTGGACACAATGCAAAATCCATAAAAAACAGGTACAATTCGTTGAAATATTTTGAAATATTTTGCCCACTCCACGAAAAGGCCGCCATTTTGATATTAGGCAGCTCATTAATATTCTATTTTGTGGCTATCGAAGAAAATTGGAGATCCACTATTGCTGATCCACTAAAAATGCGTGCCGAAACCTATACTCGCCAGGGCACAGAGTGCCCCAGCGAGTAATTAGCCATAACCTTTTGTAGTACTGATCTGACAGGACAAAGAACGGATTACTGTAACAGCTAATCAACTATCCTTTTTAAATCGACATACCTTTGAACGCGTATTTGTCGTCATCTTCGTCCATATTGTTAGCAGCCATATCTTCATCTTGGAATTAAATAGAAATAGAATAATAGAATAATAACAAATGATATTTCCTACTGCGGGTATGAAACAGGATGTATTGGTTTTCTGAGTAAAACAGAAGACTATATTACAGCTCGATCTATATAGTGTTAGCATCGTTTGTCTTCCATTGATTTATATGATAACAAAGACAAAGTTGACAACACACTGTACTAGCGGGCACTAGTTTGGTGAAATAGATATCGTTGGTCAGTTGCTATATAGTGAGTAAGAGACACCATATACAGATAATTTGAGTATAGTAACCTTTATATAATATATAGTAATTTCCTTCTTTTGGGGCCATAAATTCAACATATAATATATACAGCTAATTCAATAAAGGTTGTCCTTTACAAAACTCTAAACCTTAAACCTTAAACTCTAAGCGCGCAAAGCCTAATGGGGCACAAGTTTCAGGCTTTGTAGTTAAATATTGCAACTTTTTTGAAGTGAATTGTTCTCTACTTCTCTTAGGGGAATATTTACCATGTTCCTAAGAAATGGACCTCATACATGAGTTCTAAACTGTTTTAATCGTGCTCCCATATGCTTTGTGCACTTAGAGTTCGAGGTTTAAGGTTTTAGAGTTTAAGAGGCTGTCTCCGTAAAAACCTCCAGGTCAATATGGGGCTCAAAAATAGATTTCTCTCATACTCTAGTATTTTGAAGATCTATCTTTGGGAACAACTAAAATCGATGTCAATTTACCCAAATTTCCTTTAAATTATTTTTGGGGGCGATTGATGTTTGATCGACTGGTAACCAATTTGATACTCCGAATGAAGGCCAAATATCGACATATTTTCAGCACTATTTTTTAAATCAAATTCATACCTAAATTTTAAAATTTTTGCTCAGAAATATAGACTTATCCTTCTGTTTTCGCGGGTGATATGACTTAGATCATTATTCTTTGGTATAAAATAGAAAACAGCGCACTTATTGACCCTCCTGAACGGATGAAGGATATCGTCTCAAAATATGTCAACTTCGAAAGCTTATTTCAAAATCGTGGCACTTGATTGGCACATGACTTTAACTTTTCTATAAACTACTAACATTAGTCAACACAAATCGCCAATAATATCTTTCTGATCTATCATTTGACAAACATGACAAGCGCGCAAACTTTGTAAAATGTGAAAATGTGTCGAAATCGAGCATACTTTATCGGTAAACATAATTATTGATATTAACAGATAAAATCACCTTACACTACACTGAATGAAGCTTGATTATGTAAATATCTGTCTTTCATAATTATTCTTTGGTTTGGCGCTTGAATCAAATTGTTTGAGTACAGTTTAGCTTCACAGATAGAGTCATTCAATGCCAGTGTGTCCAGTGTCTTCTGCGCGCCTCAATGCCACGAGTCCTGATTGTGACATACTATACAATCTTCGCTCTGTTTGCTTTGTTTACCTCTTTAACAAATACCTTTACCTGTTTAACAAATAACAATGTTCAAAGAAATTGGAAAACTTAGAATTAGTCATACTACAGACAGAATTTTCATCGTTTTTAAACTGTTTTATAAAAGTTTCGTTAGAATGTACGAATTAAATCTGGGGGAAAAGCCCAGGCCCTGGCCGAAAGAAATCAGAAATGTATACTCGCTGTGATGTCAAATGTCAATATTTCGTTAGTTCCGCTCAGTATAGTTTTCTAGCAAATGAATTGTCTCTAGGTTTAGAAACAATTATAAATGAAACTAGAATTCAAGTAAGTCACGGTTCTGTATAAAAAATCAACTTTTTCAGGCCAACCCTGGGTCACTTTGCTCAAGGCTATGCTTCAAGAATTTATATTATTTCTTATTGTATAAAAATATGCGAATATTTTGATATAATACAAAACAATTCAGCGCAAACAGCTGTAACCCATTTGAATGTCTCAGTTATTTAATCAATGTTATTCCTTTTTTCAGTAACAAATAGAAAGGTTCTGAAAATTAGAATTAATTTATATTCTTTTTTCCGACAAGCTTTAAAGGGTGACAAATTTGCAAGTGATAACTAATGTCATCTTACACGCCAGCAACTTCGAAGAACAGTCTACTGTGTCTCAGAATTTTCCACACTCAGAAGTAGAAAAGGAACATTTCTACATTATTGCTTACCGTCATTCTCATCTGTCAACATAAAATCTACTGTCTGTCAAAATCGTTTAGGTTTACCTAACGTTGTGTGATCACAAATTGCGGCTGTAGTAGAAGTAAAACACCATTATTGTAAACACAAAAACCTTGTGCAATACTGTCTAAGACTACTATTTAATTCAATACAAAGAAAGGGAAATCAGAGAGCAACGAAACATTTCATCGTCATTTGATTGACATGTTTACGCTCAGCGAGTACATTTCTTTCGGTTAGGAGTTTTCCCCGAGATTAATTCGTACATTTTATAAAACGAAACTTTATATAACAGTTTAAGGTAAACAAACCAATGAAAATTATGTCTGTAGTATGACTAATTCTGAATTTTCGA